GGCACATAACAATAACAACATCCTTCAAAGCATGATGTCTTTCTCCAAGGACTGTTTCCTCCTGGCAACATGCCCAAAGAGAGACAGAGCTTCACAATACTTACCTCCAAAGAGGATCTTGGTTTCACCCTGTCTAGGACAGATCTGTTTGTTCTCTTGGAAGTCCATGGTGCATTCAATACTCTTCTCCAGCACCACATCTTAAGGCATTGCTTCTTCTTTTATCATCCTTACTCATTGTCCAGCTTTCAGGTACATATCAAGCAATTGAGAAGACTGTGGCATAGATCAGGCCACCTTAATCTCTAGATGGATATTATTGCTCTTTATAGCTCTGGAGATGTCCTTGGCAGCATATTTCCTCAATGCAACTTGTCTTTTGGTTTTCTGACTGCTGGTAGCAAGGGTGTTGATGGTGGATCTGAGAAATATGAAATCATTAACAACCTCAATCTTTTCTCTGTCTATTATGACACTGCCTATTGGCCTGGTGGTAAGGGTCTTTATTTTCTTGATGTTGTGATGCAATCCACAGTGAAGACTGCAGTCTTTGACTTTCTGCAGCTAACACTTCCAGTCTTTAATTTTGTCAAGCATAGTTATGTCATCGGTATAATGCAGGTTGTCGAGTCTTCCTCTAGTCCTTATAAAGTTGAGCCTCTCAAATGAACTATTCAATATATTGATTGAAAAACTATGGAGAAAGTATATATCTCTGGTATATTCTGTCTTGATTTTGAACCACTCAATATTCCTTTGCTCTGTTCAGACAACAGTTTCCTGGTCTAGGTATAAAGAATTTTGCAACATATTTGCCCAGATGCTGTATGTTATTTAATCTCTTGACTGCTGCTTCCATTGGGAGCTGATTGTAGATGTAAAAAAAAAAAAAAAATTAAGTCCTTGTGCAATTTTTTTTTATGTTTATCATGATGAAGTCTATTTGTCCAGGAGTGGGGATTTTATGGCCTTTCAGTTGAAATATAAATACTTCATGCTGAAGACTGTAGTATTAGTGCTTCATTTGTAAGTGCTTTGAGTCCTATTCAGCAAACAAGTTTCTTTCAGCTGCATCTCTCTCTCTCATTGTTGACCAGTCAGAACCAACTCACAGGTGACAGTCGATCAGGTTTCTGAGACTGTAGATCCCATCAGAAGAGATAGCCCATTTTATTCTGAAGAACCATTGGTGAATTAAAACCATGAGAGAAGCGTCACTTTTGCATCAACAGCGCCACACCCTGCAGACAGGTTGTTAATAAGTCGTATTCCAACTCCTAAAGTCACATTCTTCTCCATATAATCCATCTTCTCAGAGTATTTGATCAGCATACAGAGCGTGCTCATAGTGACCCTGTATGACAGAGGAGAACTATCCCATAGGATTTCTTAGACCACAACCTTTGTAAGACGTCATTGGATTGTTCTAACATTAAGCCACTAGGTGGGTTCAAGCTGCCAACTATTTAGTTAGCTGCTGAACTCTTAGCCTTTTCTCCATCAGCGATCCTTTATCTTGACACAGCATATTGTTACTGTAGTAACTTACACATGTTGTGGTGGTGGTGGTGTTGTACTGTTGAGTTGGAACTACCTATAACTGAAGGCAGCGAGTTTTCCGAGGCAGTAAGTCACAAGAGGAGATTGCCCATCTTTCTCCTCCAGAGCAACTCATGGATTCAAACTGTGTACCTTTGTGTTGGGAGAACAATTTCTTACCATTAAGCTACCATCAAACACATGTATGCAAGAGTGAGTAAAGAGGGAAGGAGGAGGAGATGGAGATGATTCACAACTTCTCTCTCTCCATCATTGGCTAATCTTACTATCTGTACAGTAAGAACATTTTTGTCTTCAGTAAGTTTTCACTACATAATTTTTTAATACATTAAAACTTGGATGACTACCCCTCTGGGACTATCGCTTTGAAGCGAAGAGGTGGGTTACTATCTTCATCTTTCTTCCTTATGTATGATTCTGTGACTCTTTTGACTACTAAAGTTTAACGACTATAAAGTTGGCAAGGTTGCAAATTATTTTAAAGCTGAAAAGGAAAATACTTTTGGATTAAAAACAGGCAGGAAATAATCCTCTAAGTGTCCACCTGCCGCCTTATAAATGCCTTTGCCATTTATATGGTTAAGCAAAAGAAACTCCTATGATAAATGATGTATACCAACACCCCTAACTTGTGGCTGCAGCGTGAAAAGAGAACCTCAGTCAGCTATGCCCGGCTCCACGCTCTGCCACGTTCACCACCCTGTCTGCAGTGGTGCACCTATGAATGCAGACGGCTGCCTTTCGGATGTATACCATCTCTTGCACTGATACGGGAAAACTGCTGAAGTCATGAGGCTGCTCCAGGCAGAGCCCTCATGTGAGTCATATGAAAGCTCCAGCACTGCTGACCTCTGGCTAAAAGCGAGTGAAGAAGGACGGGAGAGGCAGAGGGGGAGAAGTTCAAGTGTGGGTTTTCTCCTTGAGCCTAGAAGATTATGGGTCAGGAGCTATGTGCAAAGACGCGACAGCCTGGATGCAGCTGCTATCGTCGTTCGGAGGGAGGCGAGGCTCACAGCTGTCAAAGGACTCAGCCGGTGACGATGGAGGCTGCGGTTGAGGTATTTGTATCCTGGGGAGGAGCATCTTTCTCTATTGCTAAACCAAGGAGTTCAGAGACTCCCTTTCTACAGTAGGGTCTGATTTCTCTGCAGCAGATCTAACCAATAAAAAGAAAAATTCTATTAAAGTCACCAAGAATTTATGGCTGCTATTATCAGATTGGGAGATGGTCTTGTAAATCAAGAGGGAAAAATAATAGTAGGCTTTGGGCTGCAAGAAACTCACTTGCAGAAAGGCATGATTCTCTCAAAATTGGTGAGATACTCAATTACAGAACTGAATCTTAAAAAGCAAGCAGCAGTATTAGTATGCTGGAGGTTCAAAATGTTCTTAATTAGCTCAGCATCCTGAGCAATTCCGTCTAGAAGATTATTCCCCTAAGGAGATAAATTAAGTGGACACTTAAAAAAAAGAGAGAGCCTGAATTAGAAAGAGGGAAAACTGGAAAACATCCATCAAAGAGATTAAGGTTAATCTAAGTGTCAAACCCATATTTTTATGTGAAGAAAGGATGGAGTGGCTTAACAGTTGTTATCATTTTGGTCTTATTAAAAAAAGAATAGATTTCAGGGAAAGTGCCTGATGGGGAGGTAGAAAGCTTAGAAAACATACGAAGAATAAAAATCAGGTGACGAAAGAAAGAGGGATGTCAGCCACCAAGTCTTGATTTTGCATTAATTTTATTCCTACATTTTTCTTTTTTTTTTTTTCTCGGTTGTTTTTCTGTAGCTAACAGACCTAAAAGAAGCATCATGTTCCGTGACTTCATTTCACCCCAGGGGACATCAGACAGTCCGTGTCCGGAAGGTTAAGAGTAAAAGGCCACGGAGTAACAGTGATTCTTTTCAGGAAGAGGATCTGAAGCAGAGTTTTCAGTGGGTGAGTGAGCAGCTGATGCTGATCCTGAAGAACTTAATGTGTACTTGCCTAGGGAGGCTGGCTCTTCCTTCGCTGGCAATTACTGTCCCTCCTTCCCAAGTGCACTCATGCAACACTGTCTGCTTTCCCTGGGGAAAAAAATATCGACAATGAAAACATCCCCTTTCTGTTTTTTCTCTCATCTCACCCATTACCCTTGAGCAGAGGAAGAGTTTCCCTTTTGGAGCAGCCTCGTCTTACCTGAATTTGGAGAAGCTGGGTGAAGGTTCTTATGCTACAGTTTACAAGGGGATTAGCAGGTGAGTGACTGAGGTCTGGGAGATAAGTGCCCTGTCCCCCTGATTTTATGTTACAAAGGTCGATAAGACATCAGGACTGCTGCAACATGAGAGGGACAACAGGGAGAGGAAGATGAGGATTCGTACAGCCTTGAAAGAAAAGGAGACCTTCCTTGCCCCAGATAAATCAGCTCACTAAGATGTGGTCAGGGGAGCTCTGGTGGCCTGACAGCAAGAAGTTGTGCTGCAAGCCCAAAGGCATGTGGTTTGAATCCACCAGCTGCTCTGCAGGAGGAGGAAGAGCTATCTCCTCTTGTGCAATTTACGCCCTCTGAAAACTGATGAGGGGCCAGCTATTGTTTGGTTCCCACTCGAGGCACACAATAGCAACAACAAGAAGATGTGGTCAGCTGTGGTGTTGGAGAAGAGGACTGAATATCCCATGGATGACCAAATGAATGAATAGATGTGTCTTGGAGAGGGTGCAGCCAGAGTGCTCTTTGGAGGCAAGAATGATGAGGCTTTGCCATACATACTTTGGGCAAGTTTCTAGGAGGTGCTATTCCTTGGAGAAGGACAGGATGATGGGATGGGTAGAGGGTCGGTGAAGGAGAGGAAGACCCTCAACCAGATGGATTGACACAGTGACTGTTGCAATGAGCTCTAATGTGTCACTAAGCCTGAGGATGGCACAGAATAGAACAGGGTTCAGATCTTTTGTTCATGGGATTGCTATGAATTGTACTCCACTCGATGGCACCTAACAAAAACCACCACTGGCCTGGGGACAGTGATGGTTCAGTGCTAGAACTCTTCTCTTCCTTGTGGGGTTTCCGAGTTCCATTTGCAGCCAATACATCTTGCATGCTGCCATGATATGTCAGTGGAAGCTTGTGTGTTATCTTAATAACAGTGCAGCCTCCAGTCTAAAACGGTATAGGAAGAATTCACTGTCATTGAGTTGTAATCAACTCATAGCTGACCGTCCAGTGAGTTTTCAGAGGCTATCTATCACATGCCAGGAAATTTCTTATCTTTCTTCCCCTGAGCTGCTGATGAATCTAAACTGTCAGAGGCTCTACGTTTGGCTTAGCAGAGTAATTCTCCATAGACTGTCACCAGAACCCCCTGAGGCCTAGTGATTTCTTTCCAAAAATCAGCCAGTGAAAATCCTATAGCTCACAAAGCTGTGATGTAAAACCAACCATGGGAACAGTGAAGACTTGAGCACCACTTTGCTTGGGGACCTTCATGAATTTGGGGCCACATTGACAGCAGCTAACCTCAGCAAGCACAGATTCAAAAAACAAACACAACTCTTACACCTGGTGCTAAGTGTGGTTTTTAAGGTATTGCTGCCTCTTTTCCATGTCTCTGCTTAAATCACAATAACAAATTCGAGTTTGCAGTTTTATCTTTTTTTTCACTTTGCCATCATAGAAGACATTGATTTTGGTTTCAGTAAAGCATAAAACAGGATCAAATCTGTTTTCACGGAATCAATTTTTACTCATAAACTATAGAAATCTCATTGAGTTGAAACTGACTCACAGTTGACCTGCTAGTATGTTTTCAGAGGCTGTAAACTGTGTTTTATTTTGCTCGGGTCCACAATCAACACTCTTGGCACCAGTAGGCAGTAAATCAAAAGAAAATTCGCTTTGAGGAAAATCCGCTGTCAGGGTCCTCTCCAGCGTGCTGAGGAGCAACGATGTCAGTCTAGAGGCTAAGGTGCACCTGATCCCAACAAGGTCTTCTCAATTACTTACTATGCACCTGAGAGCCAGGCAGTGACTAAAGATGACAGAAGAAGAATTGACACCTTTGTGTTCTGGTGCTAGAGAAGAGTATTGAACATGCCATGGACTGCCAAGAAAACAAACAGGTCTATCCTGGAGATGGTGAAACCAGGTTGTTCCTTGGAGACAAGGCTTGTGAAGCTGTGTCTGACATACTTTGGGCATGTTGCCCAGAGGAACCAGTTCTTGGAGAGGGACATCAAGCTTAGTAAGCACAGGAGAGGAAAACCCTGGATGAGATGGATTGACACAGTGACTGTGGTGATGGGGGTAGGTGTGTCAGAGACAGTGAGATTGGCTCAGGATGTGGTAGGGTTAGAGCTATTGTTCATAGAGTTTCTATGAACTGTAGTCGACTCAACAACAAATAACAACAACAAATTGCACAGGAAAAGGTTGCCCATCTTTTTTCCCCACGGGGCAGCTGGTGGATCCAAACCACCAAACTCATTACTGTTAGGCCACCAGACTGGGTCCAAGTAGAACTACCCACAGAGTTTCCAAGGTTCTAAACCTTCACAGAAGCAATGACCCTATCTTTCTCCCAGAGACAACAGATGGGCTTTAAATGCTTTTTGATTAGCAGTCTCTTACTAACCAGGGCTCCTTTTGTAACATACAATCGTATAAAAAAGTGACAAATTTTGGGCTTGTAAAATGTACAAACTGGCTACAGAATAAGAAACTGCATACCAAGAAGAAAATGATCCATCTTGATGGGCAACAAACACATGAAAGATTCATGAGCTTTACTACCTTTTCCCCCCTTGTGTACCATTGAGTCAGCTCTGACTGGCACAAGAGGAGATTGCCCCACCTTCTCCAGGAGAGCATCTGGTGGAGTCAAACTGTGTGCCTTCGGAATTGCAGCACAGCTTCTTGACTTTACCACCTTTTAATTAAGATGAGGAAGGTCAGATGGTCAAATTCTTCCTTTTACAAGTTACTCAAATGGAAAACATACAGGTTCTATGTTGGTGAAAGTTAATTTAATATATTTAAAATAAATAGTCTAAGGGTAACTATTGTGTTGCAGATCTTATCTTAGTAATTGTGCTGTTTAGTTGTTTTAAAGTTGTTAAACAGGATTTGAGGAGAAATAGAAATTTCGATATATTGTGTAGAGATAGATTTAATCCAATTTAGCAAACTGTCCTAGCAACTAAGGCTTTATAGTTGAAATTTCCCTCAAGAAAGTTAGCCTCTCAATAGAATGAGAAGTACATTAGAAATCCTTGTCCACACACACAGAGGTTAGATAATACTATGCTCATTGAAGCAAGATTTACAATGTTGTTGTTGTTATGTGCTGTCGAGTCATCTGCGACTCTTAGCGACCCTATGTACAACGGTCATAAACTCTGTTCTATCTTGTGCCAATCTTATTGTCTCTGACATACCTATTCCCATTACCACAGTCACTGAATCAATCCATCTCATCAAGGACCTTCCTCTCTTGTGCTGTCCCTCCACCTTCCCAAGCATGATGTCCCTCTCAAGGACTGGTCCTTGCAATATGTCCAAAGTATATCAGATGAAGCTTCAGAATCCTTGCCTCCAAGGAGCAGCCTGGTTTCACCCTCTCCAGGCTGATCCTATTCTTTCTTGTAGCAGTCCATGGTATATTCAATACTCTTCTCCAAGACCAAAGCTCAAAGACATCAATTCTCCTTCTATCCTCCCTAGTCATTGTCCAGCTTTCTGATGCATAACAAGTGATTGCAAAGACTATGACCTGTATCAGGCACACCTTCGTCTCCAGACTGACATCATTGTTCTTCAGTACTCCGCTGAGGTCTCTGACAGCAGACTTTCCCAATGCCATACATCTTTTAATTTCCTGGCTGCTGGTGCTAAGAGTGTTGATTGTGGAGCCAAGTAAACTAAAGCTGGTTATAATCAGAAAAATAAAAGCCTGATTATAAATATTTGTGGTGGACTGGCTAAATAATCACTATGCAATGAGATAGTATATGTCTAAAATATGAGCTGGATAAGCTAATATTAAAAGATGCTCAGTATTTGAAGTGGAAAAAAGCAAGTTATAGGACAATCAGCACCGTACAATCCAATTTAGAAAAAGTTACTTAGAAGTATAATATGTATATAAGTTTATGTACATATAGAAAAGTATTGGAAAAATAGACAAAAGATTATTAGTAATATGGCAAAAATATCCACTATTGTCCATTACTGTTCAAAATTATAATAAAAATTCAAGCCATGTGAAAAGAAAAAGTGTAATTTTTGCAAATGAAAGAAATACTTACAAAAAAATCTAAATGCATCATTTAAGAAGCTATTTAAAGGTAAAACCACTCTGGAAGGCAGTTTAGAGTTTCCTGAAAAAGCTGAACATAGAAATTACATACGACCCTGGCAAGAAGCTGCACTGAAATCCAGAAATTACATATGACCCGGCTATTTCACTGCTTGGAATATACCCTGAAAAAATGAGAAATGAGTCACAAACAGAAATTTGTACACCAATGTTTGTAGAAGTGCCATTTACCTTCACAAGAACATGGAAACAGACAAATGTCCATCCAAAAATGAATGGACTGAGAAGTTGTGGTACATTCACAGAATGGAATGCTAATGCAGCATGCAGGAACAATGATTTTGAAAATCACTACATAACTTGAGAGGGACTGGAGTGTATTATGCTAAGTGAACTAACTCGGTGCCGTAAGGACAAACACTGTACAAGACCATTATTGTAGAAATAGAAAGACAATTAGTAAACCGGGTATGAGGCTCTGAGGAGGGGTCGGTAGGAGCAAAGGGGTGAGGATGGGTAGGGAGGTAATCATAGGGCTACACAACATGAAGGGTAGAAGGATGGGTGGGTAAAGGAAATGGGAAAGATCTGGTGTGAAAAACAAAGTATACAAACTTGGTAAGCAAACTAATATCAAGTAAAAATTTATTTAGAAAAACAAGAAACTATTTAAAGTAGTATGAGAACAAAAAGGTGATCAATTACAAACCCAAGCATGCTTGTACAAAAAGATCTTCTGTATTATCAATACTGTTTTGAAAATGGTATATAATTGGGGAAAATTATGTTCACAAAAATTATTAGCATTAAAGAATGGGCTTATTTATATGAAAATTCTCTGTAATCCCAAAGACACACAATTCTAATCCACCAGCTGCTTCACAAGAGAATGATGGGCATTCTCCCCCTGGGAGATTAACCGCCTCTGAAAATCCACTGGAGGGTCAGCTATGGATCAGTTCTGACTCGATAGCACACACCACCACCAACATATGAAGATTTACTATGGGATAGACATCTTTAATAAGGAACCCTGGAGCTGATGAGTTACATACTGGGTTGCTAACCTAAAGGGTTGGCAGTTCAAATCAAGCAGCAGCTCCATGGGAGAAAGGTGAAACAGTCTGCTCCATAAAGATTTATAACGTAGGAAACCCAGTAGGGCAATTTTATCCTGTCGTGTAGATTTATTATGAGTCAGAATCAACTCAAAGACAGTGAGTGGCAGGCTTTCGGATGAGTCATGTTTGAGTTAGGAAGGATATGTTAGAGGAGGATCCCTGCTTTTATGAAGCATACATTCTAATGGTAGTGAGACAGGCAATAAAGGCATTTCAGGCAGTTCCCTCTTCTAAACAAGACTCATTCCTAAATGTGGATCTTTACGCGGTTTTCAGGACTTCAATTCGGTTCAGTCATGATTGAGGAAGACACATTTTCAAGATTATGGTGAACAGGAAAATAGATGGATTAAGCAAAATGGTGAGACTGAAGTCTTTCTAGAAATTTAATCTCAGTCTTTGAGGAAAAGGGCAGCCCATACATTGCTTAGTACAAAATCTCTTGCGTTCAAATTTTGAGCCCAGTCCAAATAAGCCAATGCACTGCTTTAACTGTATACTGTTCTCTTATTTGTCCACCAATAATCCAATCTCCTTAATCAGGCTCCTGAAAGGGCTCATTAGGTCTTCTTTCCCAGGGTTTAAACCTATTATTTTTTCTGTTCTGGGAACTATGCTAAGTTTGCCAAATTATAAGACTTTAAATCTACCTCTGTTTCTTCTTAGTTGGCCTTGTCAAAACTGTCTGAAGGGCAAGTAGCAGCTGTCCATAAGTTTATCACCCTGAGACAGAAATTACTAAATTTGCCGGGTAAAATTGCTATGAAATAGAATGAAATGGGGAGATAGTATATTAAAGACAATCTTTTTATTCATGTGTTAAAATTGTCTATGTTCTAAAAATTTAACTTTTTCAAGCCCCCCTAAAAGCTCTAAGGAAAAAAAAAGACCAAACAAATAAACAATAATTAATGGAGAGCAGAGGAGATAGAGGGGAGCTTGAGTGGCCTACGGTTAAGAAGTTCTTCTGCAATCTCAAAGACATACAGCTCGAATCCACCAGCTGCTCCATGGGAGATGGACAGTCTCCTCTTGTGTGACTGATTGCCTCTGAAAACCACCTGGAGTGTCAACTGGAGGCTCAACTGTGAGTCAATTCTGATTTGATGGCACACAACAACAACAAAAACAAGAGGAGGTAGATGGAGCTCTTGTGGCTTAGTGATTAGAGAATTGTGTGGCCAACACAAAGGCTGTTGGTTCTAGTCTACCAGTTACTTAGTGGGAGAAAGAAGAACAATCTCTTCCTAGATGGTTGTCAGCTATGAGTCGGTGCTGACCTGAGAGCAAAGAGTTTGAGGGGCTTTTTTTGAGAGGAGGTAGGGAATCTTAGGGTGGAGCAAGTGGTTAACCTACAAGGTGGAAGTTCAAATCTCCCTAGAGGCACCTCAGAGGTAAAGCCTGGAGCTCTACTTCTGAAAAATTAGCCATTAAAAACATTGAGGTGCCATGATTCTGAGCAGATTTGACTGCAAACTAGCTAGATGGCTATGAGGAGAGATGGTGATGGGGTCTGGGAAGATCTATTAACACCTAGGGAGTCATTGTAACGTGGCTTTTATTCTTTGTGTGATGGGGATAGTAATGGACTTTGTATAGAAAAGGTTTACTTTCATTGTAAAACGATGTCCCTGATACTTGCCTGAGAGTATAGAGAGGAGCATAAGTGTACAGCTAAGGACACAACTAAGTGATCATTGCAACAATACAGTAAAAAATGAGTAATGGCTCAAATATGTGCACAAAGGGAAATGACAGAAGAAAAGGGATCAAAGGATTAAATGGATAAATTTATGTGGCATTTCTTTGTACTTTTCTATATTTGTCAATTTATTTTATTTTTTTTTTTTTGGTAAGAGATAGCACTTTGGTAAACAAACATGTTGGGGAATATAGATTTTTTTAAAAAAATAACTGTAGATTCATGTGTTTGAATATGTTTTGAAGGATGCTTGTTTTTGTTAAACAATCATTAATACAGATTGCTGCTGTGAACCACCTCGTTAGTGTATGTTCTCCCTGTCCCTTGTGTTCCAGGATAAATGGACAGCTAGTGGCTTTAAAAGTCATCAGCATGAATGCAGAGGAAGGCGTCCCATTCACAGCTATCCGGGAAGGTAAGAACAATTAGAATGAACTCAAGAGATCAGTTCTGAGTCCTTGTTTGGGTATAAAATATGTTGAGTTATAAACTATTATTATATAACAAAATTGTAAGGAGGAGAGGTAAATATTATTAAGAATAGTGAAAAGAAAAAAAATATGTTGAGATAATCCATGTAGCACCTAAAACCCTAACATCAACCTCTACTTATGGTAACCTCTTGGGTGTTAGAGTAGACCTGTGCCCATAGGGTTTCCAATGGTTGAATCTCCCACACTCCCCAATTATAAGAAAATAAAAATTAATTAAATAAAAAAATTATAGGGAAATAAAAATGCTATCATTCAGGTTTGCAGCAAGATACACTCACTCATTCAGGACAGCTTCCTTAGGACAGCGTTACTAACTTCTCTTTGTCCTGCCAGTTGTGGCTTCTTGCTCTAAGCTCTCCAGCAAGGTCGAACAAAGGCTTCTGGTTCTGCAGGGAAGCAGACCCAGGTCAGCTCTGTCTCGCCTGGGTCTCTGGTTTCCCCTCTGTGGTGGCCGCTGCTGCTCTCCTATATATAGGTCTAATGGGTCCAAGAAGCTCTGGCCCTGAAAGGCGTGCACTGTTCCTTCTTTGCTGATGGTGAGAGTCTCCCCAGGGACTGACTTTTGTTGCTTTTGAGAAGTAAATCATCAGGTCTTTTTCTGAAGTACCTTTAGGTGGACTCAAACCTCTACTCTTTAACTTATCAGCTGAATGTGTTAACAGTTTATAACTTTCAGGGACTATATTCAGCACCTAATATGTTTGTTTGTTTTAAAACCTTTCCAGAAGTAATATAGTAATTAAAATATTTGTACCTTCAACAAGATGGATTATACATGGCTATTAATACATGGGTTCCAACACAGCCACAGTTGTGTGGATGATACAAGATTGGGTTGTGTTTCATTCCATTGTGTGTACAAAGGGTCGCTATCAGTCAGAATTGACTCAATGACACCTGACAACATTTGTACTGTTTGTTTCAATTTACTTGGCAAATAAGATTAAGAATTGCAATATTATTTCATCAAAAACTATTAACTCAATGTTGTTGTTATGTGCCGTCGAGTCACCTGTGACTCATAGCAATCCTATGTACAATACCCTGCTCTATCCTGTGCTAATCTTATTGTTTCTGACACACTTACCCCATTACCCAGTCACTGAATCCATCCATCTTATCGAGGGTCTTTCTCTCTTGCGTTGTCTTTCCATCATCCCAAGCATGACATCCCTCTCCAAGGACTGGTCCTTCCTTGCAACATGTCCAAAGTATGTCAGACGAAGCTTCAGTATCCTTGCCTCCAAGGAGCAGCCTGGTTTCACCCTCTCTAGAACGAACCTGTTCTCATAGCAGTCCACGGTATATTCAACACTCTTCTCCAGCTCAAAGGCATCAATTCTCCTTCTATCATCCTAGTCATTGTCCAGCTTTCTGATGCATAGCAAGTAATTGGGAAGACCATGGCCTGGATCAGGCACACGTTAGTCTCCAGACTGATATCATTACTCTTCAGTACTTTGGTGAGGTCTCTGACAGCAGACTTTCACAATGTAATTAATTTTTTAACTTCCTGGCTGCTGGTAGCAAGAGTGTTGATTGTGGAGCCAAGCAAACTGTCACTGTTAACAATCTCAATCTCTTTATCATCTATCATAATGCTGCCAGTTGGCCCAGTGGTGATAATCTTCTTTTTCTTGAGGTTGACCTTCAATCCATATTGAAGGCTGTGGTCCTTGACCTTCTGCAGCAAGCATTCAGCTCCTGCTCAGTTTCCGCAAGCAGGGTTGTGTCATCTGCACAGATTGTTGATGAGTCTTCTTCCAGTCCTGATGCCATATTTACTCAATGAGCTTTGCTAAATATTTCTATATATTGATTCCATGCCTAGAGCTAAGGGTATAATCTATATCCCTAGAAAATGCATACAGAAGAGAAAGCTATATAAGAACATAACACAATCACATAAATCCTCAGTGGATCATTTGAAAAAAAGGCATTGTTTAGACAGCACTTGAAAAACTTTATAGGCTCTATTTATAATATTGTTCATGAGATCCAGGCAGGTGCACAACCTTGCTTGCCAATAGTGGGGAAGACGTTAAGCTCTGATTGCATAAGATCAAAGAATCTAGCCTTCAGTATGGATTGCATCTCAATATCAAGAAAATAAAATTTTTACCACTGGACTGATGGGCAAGATCATAATAGAGGGAGAAACGTTGTCAACAACTTCCTCTTACTTGGATCCACATTTAACATCCTTATTATCAGCAATCAAGAAATCAGGAGATTTATTGCACTGGGAAAATCTACAGTTAGGGATCTCTCCAAATTATTGAAGAGTGATGATGTCAGTTTGAGGAATAAGATGAGTCTGTTTCAGACCGTGATCTTTCCAATCACTTGCTGTGCATCTGAGAGCTGGACAATGAATAAGGATGACAGAAGAAGAATCGATGCCTTTGAGCTGTGGTGTTAGAGAAGAACGCTGAACATCCCATGGACTGCCAAAAGAGCAGATCTGTCTTAGAGAGGGTGCATCCCAGAGTGCTCTTTGGAGGCAAGGATGATGAGGCTTCACCTCATGTACTTCAGTCCTGTTGTTAGGGGGGGGCTATGGAGAGGGACATGATGCTTGCACAGGTGGAGGGTTGGTGAAGGAGAGGAAGACCCTCTACCAGGTGGATTGCCACAGTGACTGCCGCAATGGGCTCTAATGTGTCAGGAAGTGGTGAGGATGGAGCAGGATAGAACATGGTTCAGATCTTTTCTTCATAGGGTTGCTATGGATTGTCTTCAACATGACAGCACCTAACAACAACAACAACAACAAACAACATATACAGAAAGGAACCCTTGTAGCTCAGAGGTTTAAACACTAGTCAGCTAACAGAAAGTTCAATGGGTGGAACCCATCAGCTTCTCACCAGGAAAATGATATGGCCGTCTGCTTCCACAAAGATTCAGTTCCCTATGGGCAGTTCCACTCTGTATGAGTAGGAATCAACTCAGTGACAGTGGAAACTAGATGCAAAGCAAGTTGCTGGTGTTAAGAAAGACACAGAGTAGAATGGACCCAGATCTCTATGTTGTTGCAGTCTAATGGGATAGACATTTCAGGCAACAAGAAGTGTGAGAAACAGAAGTAGAAAAGACATTGTCAACTCAGAAACAAACAATTCTCAAACTCATTGGAACTGACTCATAGTTGGCTGTCCAGGGTCCTCAAAGGGCTCTAAGTTGTGCCAAAGGAGATTGTCCATCTTTCTCCCGTAGAGGGGCTGGTGGATTCGAACTGCCAGTGATGAGAGTTGCTGCCTTTGGATTAGCAGTGCAACTCCCTGATGACGGCACCTCCAGAACTCCTCACTGTAGACTATGAAGAGAAGAAATGATTCTGCTCGGACTAATGGAGTAAACAGGCTTTGGACTAATCTTAAGAGGCATGGAAAGCCATGTGTAAAGTGAGTTTCTAACTGAATTTGGTGTCACTTCCAGAGCCCTTGGGAAATAAGGCTCTTACGTTTTAAGTGCTGGGACCAAATGGCTATCTGTTTAGCTGAAGAGTCATCCTGGGAGGCTCAGGTGCTTTCTAGAGGAAAGCATGGTTTTAAGTGTTTAGTGTAATGGAAGCTGCAATTATGAAATTGCTTATTAGTGTTCTCCATGAATGGATGATCAGATTTACAAAGTGATGTGTGGAGAGGTTTAAGAGCACTTCTGGACATAATAGAAACCCTTGCGTCACCAGCGTAGGGGAGGGTCTCTAGAACAGGTTCGTCTCATCTTTACGGGGTCCTCTTTGTGTAGTTGGCTCTGCCTCTTGTTCCAGCTCTGTTTTGCTCGGATTTTGCCCACAGCCAGATTCTCTCAGGTTGACATTTTGAGGAGCAGTTGAAACCTTCAGCTGGCTTTGCTAGCAGATGGTTCTCAGCATGGTCGGAGAAGCTCTGCCTGTGTTCAGCCTGTTTTCTAAATGTTTCTTTTATTACATATTTACTGAGGAGGTGCTGTTCTATCACAGGTGTTTGCAATTACATATCGTATTCAATTGTGGACTTTCTGGGTTTGTTTTATGGACTTACCTTACTGAATGCTTTGCTTGTATAATATTAAAAACCACAAAAGGATTTTTGACACATTTGGAGGTGGTTAGGTGTCCAATTTCCAACAACGAATGTTTCTTTTTCCATCAGTGTAAAAGCTCAGAGCCCTTGGTAGAGGGGGCCATCTCCCCTCGAGAAGATATGAGACCTCCTTTGAAAACTTTGGCACTGTCCCATTCCCCCCCCCCCTTTCAGAACTTTAAGGATGTGAGACTAGGGAGACAGGAGGTTAAATGAGAAGGGCTGGGAGGCAAAATATGAACAGCTGGAGTTCATTAGTTAAAATCCAGGGTCACTAGCTAAAAAGGCCACTGAAAGCCATGTGGAGGAGAACTCAAAGAGTAAGGCAGCCCTTGCTAAAAAGCCTTCAAGCGGGAATTACTTTTCCTGAGCAGTTTGGCTGCTCTGATGGTATAGCAGGTAAAGATTTATTGAGTAGGATTTTACTACATGTACAGTGTCTCTCTATAAGTATAATACATGTGGCAGTTTATTAGTCTGATCATTGGGAGTGCTATTTGTTTTCATTTGATCTTAGCCTGTAATGTTATGAAATTAGCAAGTGTGAATAGCAAGAGGGGAAAAAATGCCTTAATATATGTGCCAAGTACTTTTCATGTGTTACTTCTTTGAATCCTCTGAACAATTTCTGAAGCAGATATTGTAATTGTAATAATTTAGTCTATGCAGAAACTCCCCCTAGTTAATAGAGGGCTAACTCACAACAATATGATTAAAACCCCCACTTTATAAATGCATTTCTCTTATGTATTGCTTTGGGTAAATTTGCTGCAAAAGATCTCTTTAAAGTGTTAAAAAGCAAAGATGTCACTTTGCAGACTAAAATGTGCCCAAGTCATGGTATTTTCAAT